ATCATTAAGCCACTGGGACCCGATCCAATGGTCCTTGAATTCTAACTTCTGCCAATTCACGAATCCCGGTGGGTGCGTACTGCTGAAGAGTCCCAAACTAGGACGAGACAGCTGTCCAGTACTTCCACGTTTTCCAATCGTTCTCTAACTAATGTCAGCTCATGATGAAATCCTGAAACAATGGAATTATATTGGATATTATAAATCACAGTGAGTGAATGCATGTGCACCATTGATAACGATCTGGAGACATATCACCAATTGTCTCCAGCCATTGGTTTAATGAATAGTAATGCCTTTTAACTGCATGAAGCATGATCAGAGTAGAGTTTTTACAATGGATGAGAAACTCAAATATACCATTATTTATTTATTTAATAGTAAGTAATGTTCCTATAGTTTGGTTTGTAAGGATTAGTTATGTTTTACGAGTTGATCACGGATTGATATTAGTTAGAGAACCATTGAAAACCAGGGAGTACTGGACAGCTTCTGTTTCGTCCTAGTTTGGGAATCATCGGCAATACGCACCCACTGGGATTAGAACCTAGGACCTTCCGGTTACAAGGCAAGCTCGTATACCATTCAGCCACTGGGACCCGATTCAATGGCTCGTGAATTCTAACTTCTACCAATTCGTGATTTAGCGCGACCCCAACCATTGTCGTTGGTGAGACATCCATCCACACACGTGACATCTAATTGGTTCTCACTGCTAAATCACGAATTGGTAGAAGTTAGAATTCACGAGCCATTGAATCGGGTCCCAGTGGCTGAATGGTATACGAGCTTGCCATGTAACCGGAAGGTCCTGGGTTCTAATCCCAGCGGGTGCGTATTGCCGATGATTCCCAAACTAGGGTGAAACAGCAGCTGTCCAGTACTCCCTGGTTTTCAATGGTTCTCTAACTGATATCAATCCGTGATCAACTAGTAAAAGTAACTAATGTGTCACTTCATAACATAGAAATATACCATCACCTGTACTATGAAAATCTGTAAGTTGATCCAGTGTAGGCTGTAACATCTGCACAGGGTTAGTCTTGATGTGAAGACAGTAATGTATTGTTGAAGATTCCAAGTCATATAAACTATGTTAATGGAGATGCACATTCACACTGTATCTTACTTTAAGCCTTTAAAATTTCATTCCGTATTCTATGGTCTTTTAATGTTTCATTCATTTGCCTTTCTAGTTATTTTCTTCCACTTCACTCACACAGTTCAGCCATCTGAACTTATATGCTGATTATTTATTTCCTGTTACATCAAACTGAGGTGATGTAATTATGAAGTGATGATGCAAACTTAGTGCCCAATTGAATGTTCTTGGTGTTGTTGTTATAATCTCTGAGCAAAGTTGTGTCTGATTATAAAGCGAACATTGTCACTGTAGACAATGTCTTTGATGCTGACTACACCCTTTATTTATTCTCTACGTAGGAAATACAACACAGAAGACTTTCTTCGTTGTAGAGACGAGAGCAGAAATCGTGTTTCTGGTTAATTGAATGGAAACGCCTCACATTTTGTCGCAGGTTGTTGTTAGGCCTTGTGTATGTATTTGTATTCCACTTTCCCCGTGGAACATAGGGCTTCAAGCTATAGCTTTGAAATTTCGGTAGCAATGATGTTTATTTTTACGGGGGTAGGCTTGCTAGTCTCACACTCAATCTTCCCTCTCTACTGGCCTTACTGTCGGGTTAGTGAGGTTCTCGAGTGCGTTTCCCGGGAATCAAACCCCAAACCACATGCGTAGTCGGTGAGCATTTTACTGTTGGACCACCAATGCACCGAGCAGTAATAATAAAAATTCATTTAAAAATAAAACCTTACACTATTGGTTGGCCTCCAAACCACTTTTTCAATTAATATTATTGCTCCCTTGGGTTCCTGGTGGAACATAGGGCTTTAACTGAACGTCTCCATTTGCTTCTGTCTTCTGCTGTGCTTTTCACCTGCATCCATGTTAGTCCACACTCTTTCAACTCCTCTTCACACGATCTCCTCCATGTCACCCTTGCACTGACGACCAACTCGCCGCGTGCTTCCCTTTCGGCCTGGTTCCACTCGACCAATGGCCTGACGCACACGCGATGTCATCCAGCGGCCTCCTCAACGAGTGTCCAATCCATCCATCTCCACTCTCGCCTGCATATTTGTTGGGCGATTGGTTCTTGTTTTGTTTGTTTGTCCCCATAGTTTCTTGTTGGTGATCCTCTCCGGCCCGGCCATCTGATCTTCAGTATAGATCCAGCTGAGACAGTTGTTGGTTGGTGAAGGTCTGCAACAGGCTGTTGGAAATATTCTTTGTGACCCGCCCTCCAAGTTTCTGATCCGTACAGAAGAGCTGACTGACTTGACGTTTGTATTGAAAATTTGAATGACTTTTGTTGTTGATGCTGGCTGAGTGACGAAGATTGGATTTCCAGATTGGTTTCAGGTTGATGAATGTGTTTCTCGCCCCTTCCCGATCCTTGATTTGACTTTTTCAATAATAGAATAATTTTGTTTTGATATAGCCAGTTGTGATATTGGACTGCTTTTTATTATGTAACATTAACTAAGAAAACTTTTACACTGCTATTCAGAAATTTAATTTCATATAACACAATGCACAACACCGTATTTATATAAATATAGAATGAAGTAAATTTACTTCCTAATAGTCTTTTTATGTTGTTTGATAGCAGCTGACTTCATGGTGTACATTTCACCCTATATCTACGATACACAAAGCAATATGCGTTGGTGTTTCAATCGTAGAATGGTGGCCAACTACCCATGTGATCCGAGTTCGACTCCTGTCTAACATTGAAACATTAGATTGAAAAGAACAAGAAGTTCAGCAAAGGTATCTCATCTTTTCGGCGATTTCATTCTCAAAAGCAGCATTTATATACATTAGTTTACATAGATACAATTATTATTTGTTTAATTCCACATAGTAACAAAGGTGATAATAATTTTCAACTTTATATGAAAGTTTGAAGGTACGAATATAGATTACAAGGGGCTTAGAGATAAGATTTCATAGGATTAGAAAACAGTTACAACGTATGCAAAATCGATATTTGATAACTAGAGAAATAATAGTTTTAAAGGCGAATAAAAGGTGACAATTATTTTCAGCTTGATATGAATTACAAGAGGCATAGAAACAAAAAAGGTTACACAGGATTAGAATATAACTGTAAAATCGTTATTCTAAACGGATTACAAGTGTGATCAGGAGAAGCATGGAAACAAACTTAAAATAACTGATTTTATAACTGAAAAATTAGAATAAATTGAATGAAGGCGAAGAGAGAAAATTACACACACAGAAAACAAAACAACAAAAAATGAAGGATAAGGGAACATACTGAACTAGATCCATGGTAGTTGTAAAAGCTGGAGTAGTCTCTTTTGAACACACAGCTCCGGCTTTTCGATGCATATGGCGAGAGCTTCCGCAGTACTAAGAAGTCGGAAACGCACTGCCTTTCGTAGATTTTTTGTTTACTTTGTGAATGACCCTGAATGATGAGTTGGTTGAGATTCTATGACAGGTATCGACGAGATGTTCAGTTATCATGGCGCTTCTGATTGAACCAGTGCCTCCTCTTTGCAGCCGTGTTGGATGATGCTCTCTAACACGTTTTGATAAGACCCGCATAGAACGACCTATGTGCCTAGCTCCTCAAGAGCAGGTGAAATGATATATGCACATTGAAGTGGTCATATGCGGAAGTCTGTCTTTCCCGTTGCTCCGAAGTAGTGGGCGGCTAGAGAATATCACTCTTAGAGTTGCTGCCGGAAGTCTTCTTCAGGGAATTGGAGATTCTCCTTTTAAGTATATCTGCTTCTAGGTCTCCCTTGAATTCCAGATTCAAATAGAGTGTCTTCTGTTGCACTGAAGCGTATTCTTCTCTTTTTTGCCTTGGTTTCGTGTTCGAAAAGAAAGTTTTAACTGTTTTCTGATCCTATGAAATCTTATCTCTAAGCCCCTTGTAATCTATATTCGTACCTTCAAACTTTCATATAAAGTTGAAAATTATTATCACCTTCGTTACTATGTGGTATTAATTAAACCAATACGAATTGTATCCATGTAAACTAATCTATATAAATGCGATTGTACAGCAATTTTTGAGAATGAAATCACCGAAAAGATCGTCATCTTTGCTGAACTTCTTGTTCTTTTCAATCCTGTCTAACATACTCCTAAATTTCGCCTAGCCGATATTAAGACTAGAAAGACGGAAGGGGTTGGGCATGAAGCTGGCAACCTTACTCTGTAAGAACTAAACAGTACCACACCTACTACTGAAACTTCATAGCTCAAGCTTGAAACGCTATTTTCCATTTAGAACTCAAAAGAATAGTGGTGGTGGGATGAAATGATCCATCAGTAGTCTAAGGTTATGGCGTACACTTTAGTGCTAATACTTTATACGCTGATTGATCCAAATGCCAAGAAGAATATCGATTCATTACAGGATTTCATCATGAGCTGACATCGGCTAGAGAACCATTGGAAAACCACCTGGCAGTACTGGACAGCTGTTTCGTCCCACTAGTTTGGAACTCTTCATCAGAAGGCACCCGCCGCCAGGGTTGGAAACCAGGACCTTCTTGTTACAAGGCGAGTTCGTAGACCATTTAGCCACTGGGAATCGATCCAGTGGCGAACCCATGAAGTCTAACGACATAGCGCGACCGCTAGCCAATGGGTTCGAACCCCGGTGGGTGCGTACTGATGACGAGTCTTAAACTGGGACGAAACAGCTGTCTAGTACTGCCAGGCTTTCCAATGGTTCTCCTACGGATGTCAGCTCATGATGAAATCCTGTAACCAATCAATCGAATCCCTGCAAACCAATACATGAGAAATCGATTCGTTAGACTACTCAGTTACTTATACAACTTGTTAGTTCTTTTTTCAATAAAGTATTAACAAGGTTGCGCTAATTGTGATCCGCCTACTTTTATTCTCTTTTTTTGTTTTTATTAATCAGATAAACAAAATCAAAATGGTGTTAATCCTTTCGGTGATAATGCAGCTTTCCAGTCATCGAATGGAATGGTACCTGCACAAATAGGCATCTCAGTTGACCTGTTGACAAATTTACCTCAACAAACAGAAGATACTGCTGCAGAATCGATATCCACAGATCGAATGACTCAATTTACACGTTTTGCCGCTGAAAGTTTATTTAATTATGTGGCAAGTTTTGCACATGATAGTGGAACATCTTCTGACCCCCTTGTACCAATGTCAGTCATTAAACGATGGTTTGATACAATGCTACAAAAGTTATCTCTGGATGCTTCATTTTGGAGAAAGTAGAGAATACATTGTATGCATATGTATAGTTGCCACCGACACATTGTATACATTACTGATTTTTCTTCCTCTTTCTTTTTCTACGCTTCCCTTGTGAATTATAATTAACCTAGAATATAAAAAAGTGTTAAAGAAAGCATATCGATGTGTTCTTTTGTTTTATTTTGAACCAAATACATTGTACAGTAAGGTAGGTTAATGGTTTATATTTTTGATGGTTAGCGTTGAGCTGATTAACACACCTACTTGTAGCGATCTTAAAAAAGTGGGATGTACATAAAAGTGCCAGTGAATGTCATAATATTACTGACCCTGATGGTGTACCTGGCTATGTTCTAAAACAATGTGCAGATGCTTTATGTTCTCCACTTACTAACATCTTAAATGCTTCTTTTTCCAAAAACGTTGTACCTGTTCCATAGAAAGACATTAAAATTAATCCCTGTCCCTAAACCTGGTAATAGCAAGAACGTAAAGTTCAGACCCCCCCCATTGCCATTACTTCCCCGTTTCTAAAGCTGATGGAAAAACTAGTACTTCTCAAACTTGACCCCTCCCTTGAAAGTTTTGAAGACCCTAAACAATTTGCATTTAGACAGGGTAGGAGCACTTTAGACGCTACAGCCGTCTTACACAACAGTATCGTTCCACCATTAGATAAAGGTGCCAAATACGTCTGTTGCACGTTTCTCGATTTCACTTCTGCTTTCGACTCTGTATCTAGATGTGTCTTGCTAAATAAGCTCTTGATGACACAAACTGAGGCCTGGGTCACTAACTGGTTGCATTCTGATATGTATCCAAATGATGCGTGTTTTGTTTTTGACAGTCTGTTATATTTTGCTATGTGTATATGGATCGATATTCCATTATAACTGACATTATGCTTTTGTCTGTCCACTAACTAAATAAACAATGTATGACCTTATTATCACATGACATTACAACCAATCATGTTAAGACTGGGTATTTATTGGTTCATGTGTATTAGCCATTTTCATATATACTCTTGCTTTACTATTCTTGTTCATTCTTGTTTTCCCACGTTCGTACACTAGGTACCATTTCACTCACACTTGTGTGACATTTATTTTCCTTATCTGGAAAATACAAGTATCATCGTAACCCTTGTGGTCTTCTGATTTCCCTCTTTCCGTGTCAGGGCTATTAACTACTCGACGAGTACATAACACATTCCTACTTCTCTAACAGAATGCAGTACACTGTATACACAGGTAAATCCTCCTGTGCTGTGCTCACTAAAGCTGGTGTCCCCTAAGGTGCTGTGCTCTCCCCACTTTTCTTTTCTTTCTTTCTACTTGACTTACCATCTTCAAATGACATTAATTTTTTTTAAATATGATGTTGACCTGATTGTATCTTTGCCTGTTAAGTGTCAAAGCGACTGCTCTAAATTGAATGGCATTTTATCAGAAATCAGCCAGCGGTCCAAGGAAAACGGTCATACCTTATATGCTTCTAAATGCCAAACAGTCAATTTCACCTTTAGGCATAAATCTGACCTAAACAAATTGGTTAGAATTCACGAGGTGTGCAACATAGATGGCACTGAAATAGAAACCAAGTCGGAAATTAAATATCTTGGCATCATTCTATCTGCTCATCTTTCCTGGTTGTCTCATATCTTGATGATTTCTAGGAAAATATTCCGTCTTACCTTCTACATCAAGAAGTTAAGACATTCTAGAATAATACAACTCTTACTCCTACGATTCGTTAACTCTTGCATCCTGTCTATTATTCTCCATCGTTCCCTCTTAGTTTTTCCTGGGCTACTGAAGAAGGACTATACCTTATTACACACGATGTTAAAGGTTGTCAGCAGGGTAAGCCACACGGTGCCACTTAACCAGCTTGTGTTATTAATATTCTGGTCGACAGGCACATGGACTCATGTGAAAAATGGGCGAAATCAATCCATTCTATCTAACTCACACCACCCTCTTCATTCACAACTCTCTCCTTATATCTCATCAGGCAGGCAGACTAGAAGCCTATATAGAAAACTATATGCTCGTACTAGCAAGTACAAAAACTCAGCCATACCCTACTTTAGCTCGTGTTCTCTGCGATAAAGAGAGCACTAGGCGGGATACCTATGACTTATTAAATAATCAATAGAATAACTGAATCTCGTCTTTCCAATTCGTATCTTTTATAGGTACAACGTTTTTTTCTTTCTTTCTTTTCCTTTTCACTCTTTTTTGTTTTGTTATGGGCTGCTTTGTTTCTTTCCTTCTTACAAACTCTATTCAAAACGTTCTTCTTCGTTCCTTCACACTCTGCATATCTCGACCTTTTTGGTACCGCTTACGCCAGTAAATATGCTAGCACCTGCTTTCCTGGCACCTTCAAACACCGTTCACTTTGGCTTTGCTACCAACATGCCAATATGTTGTTGTCAAAAGTAGCTGAGATTACCCATAATCTTTGTAGAATTTTATTTATTGATACCGTACTAACTGGATGCAATACTGTAGTGAAATGCTGAGAATCCCATTCTGTATCACAAGTATTGTTTTGGAATAAAGCAAATTATTACTATTAGTATCATTATTATTCTTCCCTTGGGTTCCGAGTGGAACATAGGATTTCAACAGTAAATTACTACTTTGTACTACTCTTTGTGGTCATCTTAAGGTGGTGCCACGATTGTCCGTAGTCTCTAATCTCCTCGTCACACAATATTCTCTATATCACCCTCGAACGTCTTGGTTGAAGTTCTCGGGACGATAAAAACCAATGAAGAATGGAGACAATAGGTGATATGGCTCAAAATTGTTCTCAATAGCACAGATGCATCCACTCCTTGTGACTTATAATATCCAATAAAACTATATGGTTCTTCGATATTACTATTCTTTTTGCCTAATATCTCTGTTTTGCATTTCTTTTCAATTTCCTCTCTTGCTTTGTGTGCTGAGTGAAGTGTGGCGACTTGAACTGCTGCACATCGGTGCAAAATTCTATGTTGAAACCAGCGAGTCAGTCAGTCACTCTCGGACATAGGCTCAACTCTTCGTTTACCACTCGAGTGAGATGGCCTGCATTGCGTGCGATATCATTCAACGGTTACACCTCAGCGTGTGCTCGATTCATCTCCATTTGCTTCGGAATATTTTCATGCAGTAGGTTCTTGTTGCTGATTCTTTCTGACCAGCCATTTGATATTCTGTATGGAGCTAGCGAAGTAGGCAGCTGTTGATAAAAGTCTGTACCAGGCTGTTGAAAGTGCTTTTCGTGACAAGCAGTGCCAGTTCCTAACCCATATATAAAAGAAGTGACTCACTGACTGACTTAACATTTTTGTTGAATTTAATAACTAAACCTGATTTTCATATGTTGGTTGAAACGTGGCACTAGTCAATCAAATCCAAAACAGTTAGTTTAAGCCAGTCACCTAGGAAGGTGTAGACTTCCTGACTGACTGGTTGGGGTCCTCGGTATGGTAAGAACCAATGGCTGGAGACAATTGGTGATATGGCCCAATATCTTTACCAGTGATGGCTCAGATACACCCACTCCTTGTGACTTATGATTCCAAATGAAACTATATTGTTCTTCGTTATTACTATTCCTTCGTTTCACACCTCTGTTTACTGTCTTTATTATGCATTTTTTCTCTTTCTCTGTGTGTTAAGTGGAGAGTGGCGACTTGAACTGCTGCATATCAGTGCAAAGTTCTGTGTCGAAAACAGACAGATAAACGCAGGAGATCCGGATTTAGTTCCTTGCAGAAACACTCCTAGACCTCGTCTACTTTAGTATCAGCTTGTAAGCCCATAAAAAGCGATGAGTGGGTAGGTATGTCACTAGCCACCTCACTGCTACTACAACTTCTACGTAAGGTCAAGCGTGAAATCCTAAGTTCCACTCGGAAAGTAAGGAATCTCAAAACAAATTCAGTGAATTTTCTTGAACATAAACTGCCTAATCGCTTTTGACATGTCTCCTTCTATTACGAACTCGTCAATGATGTCTGGAAGTGTTCAAAACAATGGTTGCTAGATTCAATTCCCACATGAAACACCATCAGTCACTGGAGGAGATGTATGGTGGACAAAAGGCACCTCTTGGATTCCAGTGTTTAGCTCCCGTCAACCGAACAGCATAAAGTTATATATGTTCCCTTAGAAGTACCGACAAGTGTCTTACATACATGCTTCTCTACACACATAGAATCAAAAGACCTTTGTGGAGAATAATTATACAAGAGCATTTACTTTTCAAGTACAGATTTTAAACAATTCACTATCTCTTCAACTTCTGCCATAGCTCCTATACCGATATCTCCACAAAACAGCTTTTTCTTTATTGGCTGTATACACTTCCAATGAAGTTTTTCAGTTAACCTTTCAATCTGTTCAGCAGTGAATGGATGATGCCACATTGCAGTATTCATTGCTGGAGCAAAATATACCGGTTTATAATGCCCTGTAGATACGCTATTGTTGTCATCATTGTTACTCGTTGAAGGTGGTAGTGGTGATGGGAACCACCACCATGCACGTACAATTGTTGTCAATAGATTGTCAGCTAATCCACAGGACATTTTAGCCAGACTGTTAGCACTCAATGGTGCGATGAGTAGAACATCTGCCCAATTTCTTAACTAAAAAGATTAAAAAGGAAAGAGAGATTGAGAAAAGGGGTTGGGTGGTGTAATTCATAATGGCTGAGTAATGAATATAAACGAAAGACAAAAAAGAATTTAAGCCTACCTACCTACCTACCTACCTGAATATGTAAAACAGAATCACCATGTTCCTTCCAACTGGACCATTCATTGTCATCAGTATACACTGGAATTGATAAACTATCCACAGAGATAAAATTCAACGCATTTTTTGTAACAACTAGACGTATTTCAAAACCCTCCTGTTGAAGTTTTTCTATCAAATTGGGTATTTTAATCGCTGCAACACTTCCAGTAACACCCAATATTAATTTCTTATTTTTTGTTGTCTCTATTTTATTTTCATTCATAACTAATAATAAAGGGAGATAAAGAAAGTTAAATTATTTTTAACACCGCATTCAATGAATATAAGGATGTGTGACTTATTGATTTTTTGTTATGTCTCATACTTGCAAATCGGTTAACTAGAACAGATTTCGTGTATGCAAGGCTGTGAGCCACACCTGATGTGTATCAGTAATAATGAGATTGGTTGTCGAGTGAGACGTAAGGAGGGGAAAGCTATCCATCAGGTTGTGAAGCTGTGGTAAAAGCTGTCTGTTAGCCAAAATCGGTAGACAGCAATTTACGTCAATGTTTACATCCAAAATCTTGGTCATGGGAAAAAAACCAAAAACATAGACTGCGTGGGCGGATACAATTCGCAGATATTTGGTGTGGCTTTCAAGGAAACAGTCACAAAAAGATGACAGATTCACTTTCAGGGGAAAAAACAACCAATCAGAAGACTGTTCCTCTGCTAACAACAACCTATAATAATGTACATAAAAATCTATAAATATCTGGTGAATTTCTAAATAAACCATCTGTCAGACAGTGGGAAACGGGACAGGGATATCCCGGACCGACGCGAAGAACCTAGGAGACCTGGATTTCGCGGATGAATTTATGTTTGATGTCACACAAAATCGAAGACTTACAAGCGGAAACTGACAAACTGGTCGAAGAAGTAGCCAGCGAAGATAGGACTCCATGTGAACATAGACAAGACGGAAGTTATGAAAATAACCGCCAACAACCACAGCAACATCCATCGCCAATCACCATCAACGGGAGGGATTTGAAAGAGGTTACTTCATTCACTTATCTAGCATTGAACATTGTCTCAACTACAGGAGGAACGGACGAGGATGTCAAACCGAGTGAGAATCGGGAAGGTGAGCGAGAAACACATTCATCAACCTGAAACCAATCTAGAAAGCCAATCTTCGTCACGCAGTTTGAAAAAGAAAATTCAGTCAGATTTTCAATACAAACGTCAAGTCAGTCAGCTCTTCTGTACGGATCAGAAACTTGGCAGGTGGGTCACAAAGAATATTTCCAGCAGCTTGTTGCAGACCTTTACTAACAACTGTCTTCGCTTTATACTGAAGATCAGATGGCCGGGCCGGAAAGAATCACCAACAAGAAACTATGGAAAGAAACAAAGCAAGAACCAATCGCCCAACAAATATGCAGGAGAAAGTGGAGATGGATCGGACACTCGCTGGCTGACATCGCGCGTCAAGCCCTTGAGTGGAACCCGAAAGGGAAGCGGCGAGTTGTTCGTCAGTGCAAGGGTGACATGGAGGAGATCGTGTGAAGAGGAGTTGAAAGAGTATGGACTAACATGGATACAGATGAAAAGTACAGCAGAAGACAAACAAGTGGAGACGTGCAGTTGAAGCCCTATGTTCCACTAGGAACCCAAGGGAGCAATAATAATAATGCCTGGCTCTTATCTTCTGTCGTTACGAAGCTACAGCTATTAAAATGGTTAGGATTACGTGCTGCGCATACCGACCTATTCCCTACCTTGACGACCAATGTTAGCTGACATTCGATTAGATTAGAAGAGTTAGGAGTAGTCATCAAAATGAAACCTAGCATCAATTCATGAAGTATTTGGCAATTGGTTTACAGTCATGTAGAGAGATGTAGACTACGTGGTTAAGGGGAGTGCTCCCTAGGAAGCCAAGAAACAGTCGTTGTCAATGAATGGCACAGATCAGTTCACTCTTTGTGATTGCTCATATTTATTAGACCCTTGGTGTTTTTCCATGTTATCCCTTTTTTCTCCCGGATATACATCTCCTCATTATAGTTCATTTGAATCGCCCTTTCCTCTATTTTCTCTACCTTTATCTGCTTTATGAAATGTGGCAGCTTGAACTGTTGCATATCTGTGTAAAAGTTTTATGTTGAAATCCAGTCAATCAATCAGTCGGTGAATCATACTATTCGGTTGCCAAAGTTGAAATGGGATTGGAACGGTGGATACACTAGCTGAAAGTCAACTGATGCAGCCAATTGGTCTGAAGTCTGAGTTGTGCTTCAGTTATTTCATCCTTGAGTAGCATCATCGTGTCGTATACAGTAGTTTATTGTCGAGTACATGAGAAACCAGCTTTTTTCGAAAATAGCCGAGTTCTAAACTTTTACTACTGAATTTCTTTTTCTCTTCAAATTTTAAAGCACCCGGTCTTTAGTTTTGAACTGGTTGAATAAAAAAACTTAGACTTTTTTTATTAATTGTGCATTTTCCATTGGGCTATTAATGCTACAAGAACACTTATGGCGTGGATTGCACCAAATCTTCATCAACGATATGACAATGCCATGTGTGAAGTGATCCACAACAGAAAACTCAGAGAGGTGTTCAAGATGAATACTGGAGTAGGACGAGGCTCTCTGACTACAGTGGATTGGATTAACTGCTAAACTGTGGGGAGTGAAAAGACAAGAGTACGTTACACCGATAAGAAGACTCTAGGAGATCTGGATTTCGAGGATGATCTGTCTGATCACAGGAATAAAACGACCGTTGCAGCGAAGAAAATTTTTATTTTTGATGAAGTCACCGTCAACTACTAGACAAAGCTGTACATTCGTGTATTTATAACAAATGGATGGAAAAGTTCCAGAATAATTTCCGGTCAACGGTCAAATTAATAAAATTACAATTAGGAATTAAAGTACCAAAATAAACAAGGGAGGGACGGATAAAGCTCAAACAAAGTAGAAACATACAATTGGTGGATGGTGACTAGCAGTGGAGTCCAGGATGCGCATTTCGTCCTATTTGGGACTCGTCAGCTGGATGTACCTGCATTTCTCAGTGAGTGGTGATGTTCCCACCGAGGCTCGAACCCAGTGCCCATAGTTTCAAACGCCAAAGCGTTATACACTAGACCACTTGGGCCACGAGAGCCACCTCTTGTGCGACGGGTCATATTAATTATTGAATTGAATTTTTGATTTTCCCATCGATTGATTGGACCGAAGTGCTCGGTCTCAGGTTGACATGTCGGCTTCTTGTGCAGAAATGCGCATCCTGGATTCCACTGCTAGCCACCATCCACCAATTGTATACAAATCAAATCCCCAGACATCGTCGAGGCATCTGCACAAGAAGCCGACATGTCAACCTGAGACCGAGCACTTCGGTCCAATCAATCGACGGGAAAATCAAAAATTCAATTGAATAAAGTAGAAACATAATTACTGAGAAGATTGACAAATTGTGCAATTAGGGGTTAGAAATGTAGAAATAACAAAATTAGACAGCATGTTTGGATAACAAATCTAGTAGGATCATAGCTAATGTGACGAATATTTGTTTATGCAGTCAAGGATTAAATATGCAGAAATAAAATAATAAAACGACTAAATAGACAGGAGGTTCGGATGTGAAAATATGGTAGTGTAAACAGGGATTAAGAAAAACTTAAAAACGACATGAATAAACGGGAAGTTTGTGTAAGAGAGGCAGTAGGATTGTCACTATTAAAAGTACTACCTGTTTATGATGGCCATGGCAGGGACAAGGGTTGGACGTATTTCTTTTGGATGCATAGCGTGGATTTGAGCTTTTGGATGGCTAGTGCCTGTCTATTTTTGTTATTTCTACATTTCTAACCCCTAATTGCACAATTTATCAATCTTCTCAGTAATTATGATTCTGATAAAGAAAGGAAGACGAAATTTGCAGTATAAAATGATATCATTCTATTTCACAGGTTCTCATCAGCTGCAGACTACCTGAAATTACAATGGTTATATAGATGATAATAACATACTTTAATGTTCGAGTGGTGGTAGAAAAGAGATACTATAAAATTGACGCATCTAAATGAAAGCATTACAATGTTTTTAGTTTAAGTTTTCATCATCAATTTATACGCTTTTAAAGTTGAAAAGAGGGGAGGGGTAAGAGAGAAAACAGAAAAAATTGATTAACAGAACAGTGTTAGCTTTTAGGTTGACATAGCAACTCAAGAAACAAAAACGGTTACAGTTTATGAGATTAAAATTTGTTCAGTGAGTTGAGATCACTGAATTAGATGACTAATCAAAATCAAAATTCTGTTACCAAGGGAGTGAGAGGTTAATCACACTTTCTTTCTGTATGCATAAGTCTGGTTTAAGTCTTTTGATTGCGATCGCTTCGGCAAATCGTAGTAAATTTGCTGTCATTTGTCTATTTAATATTTTGAAGGACTTAGAAATCTCTACGAGATGTCCGGTATCAATAATGTGTCTGGTAGACATTATGATTCTACTTTGTTTGAGCTTTATCCGTCCCTCCTGTTTATTATGGCATTTTAATTCCTAATTGTAATTTTATTAATCTAACCCTTTACCGGAAATTATTCTGGTTTCGTATCACTAAACTTATCGCCGGTTACAGACCACCGTAGTTTGTGTAAGTCGGGATGTACAATTGTTGGGGTCGACCTTTCTGACCCCCCTCTCTCCAGAGTGGAGATACAGCATAGCTGGTTGGCATGCTGGTCGTCTGAGGGAAACACTTCACTGCGGTTGTTACATCCCTGTTCCCCAGCAGTACGACTCCGCCCACAGACCCCTAGCATATTGCTACAAAGAAAATTCGGTACTCGGTAGATGATGGGGAAGGATTCTTCAATGCTGGCTTTGCGGAGGGTTGGTTTGGACCAGGTGGTCTAGTATCCAACTGTTGATGGTTTTTATAACATCTTCACTGAGTCATACTGGGAGTTGTTCTTGAGCACGAAAAATCAAGTTCCTAGGGCAACGGTCAATATAATTCGCTCCACAAACGCAGTTGAATTGGTAGATACAATTGGAAATGGCTAGTCGAGGTACTTCATCTTTCAATGAAGGAATCACTATCGGTTGTGTAGAGAATAAGACGTGTAGCTTGCCAGCATTACAAGTTCTTCGAACTGATTTTCTTAATTTCTTCATAATTATTTCACTTGGTATTTCACCAATTGAATTGCAGTCGTGCAGGAAGCTCCAGAAGTGCATTAGATCATATCATCATCAT